GCAAGCGTAAGGAGGATTTTTCCTATTATTTCCTGTGGGAATCTGGTCAAGCTTGTGGAGGTAAATTTCATAATATTTTGGGGGTTCTCCTATGACTGAGTCCTGGAGTTTTTAACTATCAGACTTCTCTGCACTGAGCCTCCAGCAATTTTTGAAAGATTTTATTTATTTATTTATTTATTTATTTATTTATTTATTTATTTAAAGGGGGGGGGCAGAGGGAGAGAGAATCCGAAGCAGGCTCCCCACCCAGTACATGGATGCGGGACTTCTCTCATGACCCTGAGATCATGACCTGAACCAAAATCAAGAGTTGGATGCTCAGCCAACTTGAGCCACCCCAGGCTCGCAGCAATTTTTTTGATTGTAGTTGAGATTTACCTCTTTGACACTAATTCCTGTTGGGAGTTTCCACTCCTGAATTGCTCTGGTAAGTTGAGATTCCCTGTATTTTGTCTTTCCTGTCTTGGGGGCAGTGGTTTTCTTGTGTCCTCCCCTTGCTTATGGACCCAAGAAGAGTTGTTGATTTTTTTAGCCTCTATAGTTTTTTACTTGTTAGGACAAAGTGGTGACTAACATGTGGAACTGGAAACCAGAAGTCTAACCTTTTTCTTGTAAAAAAGATAAACTTATAGTGCCTGGGTGGCCCAGTTGGTTGAGTGTCTGACTCTTGGTTTTTAGTTCAGGTTGTGATCTCCAGGTCCTGGGATTGCCCGTGGCCAGCTCTGCGCTCAGTGCAGGGTCAGCTTGTCCCTCTCCCTCCCTCTCTGCTCCCCACCCCCACACACATGATCTCTCAATCTCTCTCAAACCTTAAGTTAAATTTATTAAATCTTTCTATGTAGAATGCATAAGAATTTCTCGTCTCTTTTGTTATATTCTGCTCTTTGTGGATAGTCACTTCTTGGGGGTGCTGTGTTGAAAAAACTTTTGGAAAAAAAAAAAGCAAAAACTTTTGAGACCACATTGAGCCCCTGCAAAAGGATTGCATGTATGGCAGATCATGCCAGGTATTTGCAGTCTCTAAAAGAACATTCTGAATATCGTATTGATATTTCTTCTCCTTTGGTTATTGAAGCTGCAAGCTTTCAAGATCTGCCTGTAACTAAGTTGTTTATCAGATTTATTTTCTGTTTCTGCCAAGTTATCTTGTCCAGACTAATGCTCACTTTTCATTTGTACATTCTCTCCACAAAAGTGAGAGCCTACTTTATGCCGGAAACATTTCTGTTTTGTTGGATATCTCTTTATTCAGAAGTATAATTGAGGTGTTATAATTGGGGATTGGGCCAGGTAGACCTAGATCTTTTTCTTTTGTACTGCAAAGTTCATCAGGCAGTAGTCATGTAGGAAGCACATTCCTGTTGCTGGAAAGAATCTCTAAGATTACTTTTTCTGACCTCATTTCTCATCTTCTCTGGCTTCATCTCTTCTCTCCATCCTTTCAGATTATAATTATTCCTAGGTGACCCATTCTTGTTTTCTCTGTATATATATTAGTAGTATCTATACATAGATAACTCCCAAATACTATTCATTAAAGTGACAGTTCATTCTCCCATGAAGAACAGAAGCTAAATGTGTTTTCACATTCTTGGCTTGGACAAGCAGAAATGCAGCTTCTCAGAAAGGTTATATGTGATTTTGGGGAAGGGTAGAATTTAGATTAAATTTAAACGACATAATATATTGACCTAAAGAAAGAGGAACTGATTCTTAAAAGCTTATCTCTTCAGTGACTGGCAAAAGTAGAAATTTGAGCTTCCTTTTATACAGGTGGATCATGGCCTTTAGGCTATGTATTATGTGTATGCTTCCTCTTTGTGTGTGAATTATGTCTTGAGGCAAAAAAATGGAATTTTAAAATCTTAGATCCTTATTTTTTTTTTTAAAGATTTTATTTATTTATTTGAGAGTGAGAATGAGAGACAGAGAGCACGAGAGGGAAGAGGGTCAGAGGGAGAAGCAGACTCCCTGCTCAGCAGGGAGCCCGATGTGGGACTCGATCCCGGGACTCCAGGATCATGACCTGAGCCGAAGGCAGTCGCTTAACCAACTGAGCCACCCAGGCACCCTAAAATCTTAGATCCTTATTGACCCTCCTTGGCCAGGTCACAGGAGAGGCCACTAAATATTATTCAGATCTACACTGCTGATATATTCTTAAAAAATACAGCTCGTGGTTTTGAGATTAGCAAGATTGTATCCTTTTTTTGGTCTCAGGATTACTTGCTGCATTATTTGGTAAGATAGCATCCATTCAGTAGCAGTTAAGACTCCAGATACCAGGAAACATATGATTGTAATATAGATAAAAACAGACTGGAAAACTTTTCAAAGCCACAGAAAACCTAGTTTTTCCAAATACCAGGAAAATCTGCAACTACAACTAACTTGTGAATTACTTCCTGAATCTCGTTGCCACAGGAATACAAATATCTAAATCAGATATAATTTGGTTATGTGCAGGAGAACTGGTATCTCTAGAAACGAGCCTTCAGCAGAAGGCTTTTTTTATTTGATGGTTCCCATTAATTTGCTGGGGGAGCTTTCTGGAGACAGAAGAAAGGACTATTCTGTTTATAGTGGGCCTCAGGTTAACAGTTACAGGTTGGGACATGGGAGTAAGATTTGGAATTATTAGAAATTCCCCCTGAGTAATTTTACTTCTCTTAGAGATTCATTATGTTGTGGTAGGATTTATGGTAGAAATAATGGCACATGTATCTATCAGGAAACACAAAAGGCTCAAGGAATTTTTGCTTGTTTGGGAGTCCACTAGTTCTGATAAGCAAAACCAGTGAAAATACTCAAGGTACACTCAGTGGACAGCCTTGAAATCGTAAAACTTTTTTTTTTTTTTAAGATTTTTAAAATTTATTTGAGAGCAAGAGCATGAGCAGGGGGAGGGGCAAAGGGAGAAGCAAGCTCTCCACTGAGCAGGGAACCCAATGCAGGGCTCAACCCCAGGACTTCTGGGATCATGACCTGAGCTGAAGGCAGAGGTTTAGCTGACTAAGCCACCCAGGCGCCCCAGCCTTGAAATTATTAAAAAAAAAAAAAAAAAAGTCACAACTTTCTCATCTGAAACGTTTGATCATATTTATTTCAAATTTTTGCCTGGGAAAGGGAGAAACTTCATGTGGAATGTGGCTTTTGTCAAAGGAAGAGGGCAAGGTATGCAGAATTTTAGAGGGGGCTAGAATAGAGGTTAAGTTTCAGTGAAGTGCTTTTACTTCTCAAAGCAAAGTTGAGCTAATTGCTGATTTGGTAAGTTCTTGATAGCAGATTTGTTTAAATGGTGTTTGCCGGAAATGGGAAGTTTAGTTTCCTGGATATAAATAGGTCATGTCCTTCATTGTCTACATGCCAGTGTAGAATATATGATTTACTTAAATATGCAGGTTGTGTCTCCTGGTAGGTGTGGGATTTTTCTGTCTACTGGACCACTCTACTTCAGTGGCCCATAAATAACTGGAACTCAGTATTTATAGCAACTCCAACCCATACCTTCCTTCTATTTTCTCCATCTCAGTAAAGGGATGGTTGCTTTCCCGAAGTCATATTGGACCCTTCTGTCTTATATCAGTGTCAAATGTATCATTAAGTCTGTCTCATTCTCTCTGCCCATGCTTAACTGCTTTGGTTCAGATAGTTAACATCACTCAGGTTTTTGTTAACAGCCTCCTCACTGGTCTTCTTACTGCTATTTACTTTTTGTTCTTCTACCTTCTGCACTACTGCTTGAGTTTCTGTGAAACTATTTGATCACATCACTTTCTTGTTTAAAACTTCCAATAGCTTCCAAATACAGGCATACCTGGTTTTCATGCCTATCTTCATACATGCTGTTCTACCCTGTCTGGAACCGTCTTCTCTGCTCCCATTCCAGTGTAGTGATCTCTTAGTTTTTAAAATATTCCATCTCTGCTGAAGCTTTCCCTGACTCCTCAAATTCCCTGATCCTCTTCTGTAATTCCCTATTGTTAATTCCATACTGCTGCTTAGACTTTTATCTTGTCAGATTGTAGTTTACTTACTTATATGTATTTCCTTCTTTTTAGGCTATGAATTCTGAAGCAAGGACCTAGAGCAGATCTGCTTGGCTAATAATAGATACCTACTAAATATTTTTAATATCTGGAGCCCCTTCTTTTTCCTATGCCAGATAAGAGTTAGTTTTCTAAGACCATCTTCCTCACATGTGTCCTAGATTCCATTCCCCTATTCAAAGACAAGCACAGAAATTGGCCTTAACATTGTTCAGTTTATTCATAACTAGAGCAGAGAGGCGGCATTAATATCAGGGTGGTGAGGAGACCTTGAAATCACGTTAGATTGTGAGCAATAGGAGAAACTAGAATATCTAGCCAAAAAGAAGGAAAAATCAAGTGGGATATGATAACAGTACCCAAATATTTGAAAGGCTGTCATGTAGAAAAATTACTAGTTTTAATCACTGTGCCTCCAGAGGGCCGCTGTAGGATGAAGAGGTGCAGTTTTGGGTTCAGCATTAGGAAGAGCTTTCTGAACATTATAAGCTGACTTACTATATCAGGGGGATTTTTCATGAGTGGAGCTGTGAAAGTAGAGGCAGAGTGACCAGGAGTTTAAAGTATTATAAAGTTGATTTTGTTATCTCTGGCAAGAATTGACCATACTGGAGAGTCTTAAATTTTCCTGATACAGTTCTAAGTTCCATGACCTTGAATTTTTGAAGCATATTTATTGTTTAGGATTAAGACAGATTTCTGTATATACAGTAATAATTTTAGCTCTTTCTGTGTGCTACCTGTTGGGCATTCAGAGATCAGTGATGGTCTCTTGCACTGAGGTAGCTTGTACTTATAAATGAAAAGATTCTTGTGCTTTTAATTTTTGAGCTGTGTGTGTCATTTCTATTTTGATTATTTTCAGGATTCACGATTCCAGAAAATCAATTTTGAGATTTACTTTCCTTCCAGGTACTAAAATTGCTTTTCTTTCCTTTTTATTCTTAGCAATGTCTCAGGCTGTGCAGACAAACGGAACTCAACCATTAAGCAAAACATGGGAACTCAGTTTATATGAATTACAACGAACACCTCAGGTAACGTAGACTAAGATGAACTTGGGAAATAAGACACATTTGGAAACTGGGATACATTTTTAGAAAATGAAAACTCGGAAGAACATAATGGTAATAATGAATTTATATACAGGTAGTCTTGTGTATGTTTGGTTTACACTTCATTCATTGATTCAACAAATAATTTTAGTGTGTACTGTATACCAGATTCTATGCTAGGCACTAGGTGAAGTGAATAAAATAGATGTGGCACCAGCTTATGGAGTTTAGAGACATTAAATGAATAAATATCCGCAGAAGTACATATTTGAGAAGTGTAAAGGGGGAAAGTCCTCAGTGCTGTAATAAATAATGGAGGGGGCACTGGGTAGATTAAGAAGGTAATAGTTTGAAGTAGATAAACATGCTTAAGACTGAACTCATTTTGAGATGCCTGTAAGGCAGGCAGAGATGTTAACCTAGGGGTCTGGACTAAATATAAAATTTTGGGGGTTGTCAGTGCATTTTAAGCAATGAGAATAGGATAAGATCACCTGAAGAGACATAAGCAGAAGGGCCCAGAATTTCATTCAGAGGCGCTTCAACGTTTAGAAATAAAGGAAAAAATGGAAAAGAAGCTGGCAAAGGAGACTGAGAAGGAACAGCCAAAGTAGAGAAAAATAGGATATGGAGAGAGAGGATCAAAATCTAAGAGGAGGTTTCTTAAAGAGGGAGGATGTAGTTACTGTGTTTGACGCTACTGAAAGGATAAATAAAATGAGGATTACAAACGTGTACATTGTATGTGGCAGTGTGTACTTATACATCATGACCTTGGCTGGAATAAATTCACTTGAATAGATTGTGCTATATTGAAGGGGGAAAAAAGTGAAAATGTGTAGGTAATTTTTCAGAGAAGTTTGGTTCTGCAGAGAAGCAGAGACATGGAGTAGAAACTGGAGGGGAAGATGGAATTGGGAAGTTTTAAATTTTGTTTATAAGATGGGAGATAGAGGTGCACCGAGGACATCCTGGTGCCCTGCATGGCTCTAAGGTGTATCGTTCACATTTCACTATACAGCAACCCCATGCAGATACCACTCTAGGCTGATTTAGTGTAGAGTCCGAGATTGCTGAAGCCTGAGAGCAAATAAAATAATCGAAAGGATATACTTGAAAAGGGAGGAAGGAAGGTAATTTTACAGGAAGAGGCATATCTTCTCTTTGTAGCAAGAAAGAAGATGATTTATAAAGATGTCATAGAAAATGAGAGAGCTTTCTCGATGAAATTTGAGGTAAGGTAATTTTTTGAATGTTCAGATGTAGGAAGTTCTGCAGATAGAAGAAAAGGTGTGACATAGTGTAGAAAAATCAAGTTTGTTACGAGAGAAACTAATTGCTGAGCAGTGTTGAATGCCCATTTGAAACTGGTGAAATTTTTAGTGTTACCAGTCTGGTTGTATGGTTCTCCCCTTTTTTCTCCCACAGTACTACACACCTGCACAGGCACATAGATGGGGAGCATGGATGTTCGGGTTTGTCCTGGGCTGCGATTTTGCCTGGCAAGTTCTAAAGAGGAAGAGGACAGACTTGGTTACTAGCTGAGTCGTCGTCATACTCTGATAGTTTCCTCGTTTGTAAAATGGAAGCTGTAATTTCTAAATCAAAAGTTTGTTTATTGAATTAAGTAAATGAAAATACTGAAAGTGCTTTCTAAAGAGAGGTTGAGACATAATAAGACACTCAAAAATAGTGGTAGTTATAAATGTAAAGATATTTTACTTGAGTCCCTCGCGGACAATATCTATAGTTTCTCTGTCTTTCCTTATAGGGTCTTTATTCTTTGACCCTGTAGAGGAAACACAAGTGTGGAGAGCCAGTGGAAGTAGGAAGTGTCAGTAACATATGGGAAGCCTTTTATTTCTACCTGTACCTTCCCCTTCAGTAGCCACCTACGAGACCTCTTTACTCAATCCATAGGAACCAGTATCGGTGACTTTAGAGTGAGGTAAATTTGTACTCAGTGCCACCTTGTGGGAAAGGTAGGTAGTGGTGAAGAGCGTGGGAGTCACTCATCTCTGCACCTAGGAGATGTGCTGGAATTCTACACTGGAACTCCAAATGCATTTTTACACTGAAACATTTTTACACGTAACAATTAGAAATACTAATACTGGTATGGTGGATTAAATTGGTTTGTAGGTTAGCCTGAGAACCTGACCACTTTGTATAAAACTGCTTCTGTGGATCAAGACTTAAGGTTCAAGAAGTGATTTTAAAAATGAAATCCTGTTAAACTGTATGTAAATTAGAAATACTTGTATTGGAATCTTAAAATCTTTAAATGGATGACATGAAATACATAGTTTGTTATCAAAATGATAGAGTTTGTGAAGATAGAATTAAAGTTTATTTAGCCTTAATTTCCTCATTTTAAAGGTAAGAAGACAATGTTAAATTATTATTTAGAGTCATGTTAATATGGCTAGAACTTAAGGCATTTGATTCCAAATTCAGTTTGTGTTTTTTTATTATGTTACTTGGCTTTTAAACACATTAATATGTTATTTTTAGCATTAAAATAAGAACATTGATATAATACAGTGGTGGAGCTGAGGGGGGTTGGGGAAGATTATGATAAAACACTTGGAGTTGACAGTGGTGGTGGCTGGGTGATGGGTATATAGATGTTCATTTTTGTCATTTTCAGTACTTTTGTATGTTTCAGCTTGTCCATAATAAAAAAAAATAGGTAGCATTTAATTTTAAAGTGACTCTTGTACAGGAGGCAATAACGGATGGCTTGGAAATTGTGGTTTCACCTCGAAGTCTACACAGTGAATTAATGTGCCCAATTTGTTTGGATATGTTGAAGAACACCATGACTACAAAGGAGTGTTTACATCGTTTTTGTGCAGACTGCATTATCACAGCCCTCAGAAGTGGGTATGTTGAAATGAGTTATACTAGGTATTTAATTATACCAAGATGGTGCTGTATGGGTTTTGAGAAATAATACTCTCTTAAAAGTATTCATTTGAGAACTGGAAGTTTTTCTAAAGTCTAAGTTTTAATTATTGGAGAATCTTTGTTTTGAAAAAGTTGATTTTATACAATTTTAAAAGCTTTATAGCATGAGTATTTGTTTTGAGGAAATTACAAACCATGAAACTATGGTTCTTCCACTTCTAAATTATATAAAAAAAATCTTTATGAATGCTATTTTTTTTTTTAAATTTTATTTATTTATTTGACAGAGAGCAAAGTAGGCAGAGAGGCAGGCAGAGGGAGAAGCAGGCTCTCCGCTGAGCAGAGAGCCAGACTTGGGGCTCGATCCCAGGACCCTGGGATCATGACCTGAGCCGAAGGCAGACGCTTAATGACTGAGCCACGCAGGCGCCCCTATGAATGCTATTTTAATAAAAGAATTGATAACATAATATGTGTTAGTGGGTAAATTTTCCTTGTAGGGCATGGATATCAGGGGAAATTTATATTAGCAAGGAATAGATTTTTATTTCTAAAATGATTATACATAAATTATCATTGGGAAGTATTCGAATTTTTGCCTGTTGGCAAATACTGCCTGAAGTTCCCAAAATCTTGCTTACCCTCAAATCAGATTTTCAAAGAAATTAGGTTAATCAGTTTAAATTTCTGTCACTGGGTAAAGGTATTGGAATAGAGGTAACTATCCAGAAATTGGATATTTTTGTCGTTAGCTCAAAGATACTGACACTGTTTACATTTTCTTTCCCCTCTTTTTATTTAGCAATAAAGAATGTCCTACCTGTCGGAAAAAGCTAGTTTCTAAAAGATCACTAAGGCCAGATCCAAACTTTGATGCACTCATCAGCAAAATTTATCCAAGTCGTGATGAGTATGAAGCTCATCAAGAGAGAGTATTAGCCAGGATCAACAAGCACAATAATCAGCAAGCACTCAGTCACAGCATTGAGGAAGGACTGAAGATACAGGCCATGAACAGGTATACGGGGGAAGAAGGCCAGTGATGGTGGCCATTTTTCTGAATACTTTTATTAAAATACTGAATTTACTTAATAGCCTCCACTTTGAAAAAGATACAGCGTAGTAACAAATTGTAGTTCTGCATGGTTACCTTTCCTCCAGGCATTAATAGGGTATTCTGTTTACAATACTATTCTCTGTTGTACTCACTTTCCCCTTACCATTTCTTTTCTTTTATTTCTATAGCAAAACTGCTTGAAAAAGTTGTCTCTGCTCACTATTTCCAGTTCTTCTCCCATTCTATTTTGAACCCCCTGTTGTCAGACTTTTATCCCCTCCCCCACCTCCGTATCACTTTATCAAATTTTCTAGTGACCTCCAAATTGCAAAATCTAATTGCTGATTCTCAGACCTCACTTTCCTGTCTTGCTCAGCAGCATTTGACACAGTTAATTTCTCTTTGAATCGTTTTCTTCACTTGGCTTTCAGGAGACAATATTCTCCTGGTTTCTTTTGTATGAATTAGCTATTCCTTAACTCAAATTTAACATATCCAATACTGAACTTTTTATTCTTACCCCCTACTTTTCTTCATTCTTGCTCATTTCATTTGATGGCAACTTTGTCATTCCATTTGCTTTAGCCAAAAACTTTGGAGTCACCCTTAACGTTTCTCTTTTTTCTCACGTATTGTATATTCCAGTCTGTGAATAAATATATTTTTAACTTTTCCCATAATTTATCCAGATTGGTCTAGGCCACCACCATTTTTCATTTGAAGTGAAATAGCCTCCTAATTGATCTTTCTACTTTCCATGCTTTTCCTTACTAAGTCTATTCTCAGCACAGCAGCCAGAGTGATTCTCTTAAATTGTAAGTCAGATCATGGTTCTCCTTTGCTTTGAAGCCTCTTAAATCTCTCTACTCTTCACTTTCAGGTTTAAAGACCTTAATGATAGCTTTCAGCACCCTGCACAATTTGGGCACTTTCTTACCCTCATTCTTGTTTCCTTTCTGATACTTATTAATATATTCAGGCCTCAGTGAGAGTCATCATTTTCCAAAGTAGGAGATGCCAGTACAGCCCCATCTCAGTCTGGTATTTCTCACCTTGGCTGAACATCAGAATCACGGGAAGTTCTAAAATTTTAGGACCTCCAGTATCATCCCAAACCAAGCAAATCAGAATCTTTGATTGAGGTCCAAGCATTGCTATTTTTAAGGTTCCAGAAGTGGTTTTGAAGAAGATGTGCTACATCGTAACTACATTAAACTGACCTACAACTCTTTTACCAAAGTAAAATAAAATATTGTTGAGTGTATTTTTATTATTTTTAAAGATTTTATTTACTTGAGAGAGAGAGCACAGAGGGAGAGTGAGAGTGAGAAGCAGGCTCCCCGCTGAGCAGGGAGCCAGACATGGGGCTCCATCCCAGGACCCTGAGATCATGACCCGAGCCGAAGGCAGACGCTTTACTGACTGAGCCACCCAGGCATCCCTGAATGTATTTATTTTTAAAGAGTTATGCATTTCTAAGAGTTTGAGGGACTTGAATGGTGTTCATTTTAGTCTTTTAGCAGGACAAAGAGTCCCCTTTCCAAAATCTTTTATGGATAGTCCTTTGATTTTGCTTGAACATTTCTAGTGGTGAGAGTATGTGATAGAAGCTCCTTCATTTGTTCACAACTTACTACAGCTTCCTTGCTGTTCTTCAAACTTCTGAAGCAATGGTTTTGTCTCAAGGCCTTTTTTGTATTTACTGTTCTCTTTAAGGAACCCTCTTCCAGATAATCCACATGGCACACTCACTTTCTTCAGATGTCTGCTAAGTTCCCATCTCCACCTCAGGAATCCAACCATCTTACCCTCCCTTCTTCATTTTTCTCCACAGCACTTATTCTATGACGTGTATGTGTTACCTGCTGCACTAGAACAATATAAGCCCTTAGAGGGTAGAGAGACTGTCAGTATTACTGATTCTTAAAACTCCAGTGCATAGAACCATGCTTGGCTTCAAGTAGCTGCTCAGTAAATATTTTTGAATGTGTGAATTTTTTTTGAGTTTTTCTTTTATATTGAATTAAAATTAGTTTTTTTTTTTTTTTTTAAGATTTTATTCATTTATTTGACAGAGAGAGTGCGAGAGAGCATAAGCAAGGGGAACAGTAGAAGGAGAGGGAGCCTAATGCAGGGCTCGATCCCAGGACCCTGGGATCATGACCTGAGCTGAAGGCAGACGCTTGACCATCTGAGCCACCCAGGCACCCCTTAAAATGAGTTTTTTATGTGTAGCAGTCTTGATCTATCTTTGTCAAAATACTTATATTGGATTCTGTACTTATTTCAGATTCTACTTCTGTCCAGTAGTTCTTTAAATAGTAGAGTTAAATATATATATTTAAATATTTAATATATATTTAAATATAAATATATAAATAAAGAAATATATTTATTTATTTAAATATTTTATCTATTTATTTGTCAGAGCATGCACAAGCAGGGGAAGCAGCAGGCAGAGGGAGAAGCAGGCTCTCCGCTGAGCAAGGATAAAGGCTAAATATTGACATTCCTAATTACTGTTGTTCCTCATATGACATTCAAGTTTGATGGTGTAGGTCTTGAAATGCTACCTCTAGAATAGTATGTAATATTACACATATGATTTGATAATTATAAGATATAATAAGCTCTTAATCTCTATTATGAACATTATTTTAAGAATGATACCTGAAATAAATTAACCTAGCTCTATCAACCTCAAACATTTTTGGAAAGAAGTTTGGGATGAAAATAAATACATTAAGACAAGTAACCCTGTTTAGATGACTTTATAGTCAACTGAAACAACTTTGCTTTTGCTTTACTTGTAGATTTTAGGAAAATTTAAGTATGGTCTTTATATTTTCACTGTTGAATTTTTCTGTTTCATTATTTTGGCCTGTTCATATCATATATATGTATTTTAAATTGTGATAAAAAAAGATATAATGTAAAACTTACCATCTTAACCATTTTTAAGTGTATAGTTCAGTATCGTAAATACATTCACATTAATGTACAACCAATTTTCAGAACTTTTTCATCTTATAAAACCGAAACTCTGTACCCATTAAACATCTCATTTCCTCCTCCTCCCCTCATTTCCTGGCAACCACCATTCTACTTTCTGTTTTATGAATTTGACTACTTTAAATACCTCATAGACATGGAATCATGACTGGCTTATTTCACTTTTTAAGACCAAATAATATTTCACTGTATCTATTTACATCTTTTTGGATCGTAGTTTTGTCATTTGACATATTAATGATCCCTCTTAATTTTAAAATGATCTGTAGATTTCATAAACAGTATTTTGTGGGGTTTTTTTTGTTGTTGTTTTTTAAAAAAGTTCTCAGGCATGTTTCCTAGGCGGTGGGCTGTGATTTCCTTGTCCTGGCAGTAAACATGTAATAATGATACTATCTTAGAAGTGCAGGTCATTTCTTCATATTTCTTTCATATACAGATAAAGAGGGGGGCAATGTGGCAGAATGTTATCACATCAGCTCTAGTTCTGGCACTTACTAGCTTATAACCATGGAGCTTCGAACTTCATTTTCTTTGGTTTTCTCAACTATAAAATGACGATAATGTTAACTACCTTGATGATTGTTTTGATGAGTCAGATCTGTACACAAAGCACCTTGCCCGGTTATTTATTTATTTTTATATTTGAGCTTGTTAGACTGCTTCTGTATCCAATCTTGTAATTTAGCTATCCATCTCATTTTTCTCACTAGCATAACTTTATATTGCATTAGCAGACTTTGAGTGAGGTTGGCAGGGAGGGACTGCTTACCGTTCCGCTTAAGTCTTGTTTCCCTAAGAGCCTTTAATTAAAGAGGCATGAATATCTTCCCTTAGAACTTTTACATCTTCATTTCTGAATCATGCCTTTCTTTAGATTTAAAATCTCGTAACAAAAAAATTTATCAACATGTAAATAAGGCCAATATAGGCCAATAATTCCTATTGTCAACAAAGAAAATTATTAAGTGAATATGAACATTTGTTTAAGTCATTCAGATGTATGTGTGTGAGTGAGGTTCTTCAGAACTTCTGGGACATGAAGTTTCAAAATAGATGCCATCCAGCTTGGAGCAAATTCAATTATGAAGACTTTTTTAGAATTCTGAAGTTCAGTAAACATGTTTCAAAATCAATGCATTGAAAAGGTCCAAATGTAAATTTTATGCAACCCCTTATTTTTCCTTCACTAGATTACAGCGAGGCAAGAAACAACAGATTGAAAATGGTAGTGGAGCAGAAGACAATGGTGACAGTTCTCACTGTAGTAATGCTTCCACACACAGTAATCAGGAAGCTGGACCTAGTAACAAACGGACCAAAACATCTGATGATTCCGGGCTTGAGCTTGATAATAACAATGCAACAGTGGCAATTGATCCAGTAATGGATGGTGCTAGTGAAATTGAATTAGTATTCAGGCCTCATCCCACACTAATGGAAAAAGATGATAGTGCACAGACAAGGTAAGTGTGTAGGTTAGCTTCAGATTACCTGAATTCATAATACTTAATTTGGAATTAAAAGGCAATTTTGTGTAAGAAGTAAGGGCTGTATTTGTCATACCATTGATTGCCAGGGTTCTTTTGGACGTTCCGGCTGCCTAAATTGTAGTTTTCCTTCTTCTTTGTGTGCTTCCTACCCACATTTGTGTATCTAAAAGGAGTGACCCTGGGGCACCTGGGTGGCTTAGTCTGTTAAGTGTCTGCCTTCAGCTTAGGTCATGATCCCAGAGTCCTGGGATGGAGCCCTGTGTCGGGCTTCCTGCTTAGTGGGGAGCCTGCTTCTCCCTCTTCCTCTGCCCCTCCCTCCACCCACTCATGCTTTCTCTCTCACTCACTCTCTCTTCATATAAATAAAATCTTAAAAAAAAAATAATAGGAATGAGCCTCCTAGATAGAGGGGGAGGAAGAGTCCTTTAAATTTAACTCGTTCAGTGAGTGATTGAATTATAAACCATGCTTTTCAAAAAAGTCTCAAGATTAGTGCTTCTTGGCTCTGTCTCAAAAACCAGAAAATCGATCAGTTCTTAGTATAAAATTTGCTCAAAATTTTATTACTCCTCTTGCTGCTGTAGATGGCAGAATTCTGCTTCTTGGGGTTGAGGGGTATTCCTTCCCTCTCCTGTACTCCTTGTATTTGTTTAATTTTTGTCATTTTATGTCATATTTATGGATGGTAAGGTAGGTAGAGCTTTCTTGTCCTTGTAGACAGATGGTGAATTGTGTACTTTCCCCTCTTCTGTACCTTTCAATAAAAAATGTTTAGGCAATAGAGGAATAAATTTTTAATGCTATTTTGTCAGTATTTGAGACATTTACATTTTATTTAGCTTGTTAGAAATGTATTCTATAATTTGTGTATGTTTTTATCATTAATGTAGAAATTAAATTATTAATTTATTTTTCCAGATACATAAAGACTTCAGGTAATGCCACTGTTGATCACTTATCCAAGTATCTGGCTGTGAGGTTAGCTTTGGAAGAACTTCGAAGCAAAGGAGAATCAAATCAGATGAACCTTGATACAGCCAGTGAGAAGCAGTATACCATTTACATAGCAACAGCCAGTGGGCAGTTCACTGTGAGTATTTAAAAGAATAGGCTGTTGAAACTGGGAGCACATTCACCATCTTAGACTGGCAGGTGTTTTGGTGGGGCCTAATAAAAATGGTTCAGGATCCTGAGACCCTGCAGAATGAGAAATTGCAGTGGGGTACCTTTTTGATATCTTTTGGTTGTCCTTTTATGAATAGTGTAAGTGACAAGTTTTATCCTAAGATTTACAAAAACGGACTTTGATGTTTGTTTCATCTCACTCCTCTGCTTTGAGTAGTTTTTTAATTCTTTCTTTTTCTGTTTTAGGTATTAAATGGCTCTTTTTCTTTGGAATTGGTCAGTGAGAAATACTGGAAAGTGAACAAACCCATGGAACTTTATTATGCACCCACAAAGGAGCACAAATGAGCTTTTTACTAAAACCAAGTCTGAGAATGAACTTTTTTTATAGCCTATTTCTTTAATATTAAAGATGTAACGTCTTTACTTTTATGGACAGAATCTTGGATATGTTGTTCAGTTTTCTTTCTGAGCCAGACTCGTTTACACTATTAGAATCTTTTCCCCTTAATTTAAGATTTCCTTTTTGGAAGGGATTGCAATTATTCAGGACTTTTTCTTTCCTTTAAAAATATATCTAAGTTGTATGTTTTCATGAAGTATGGTTCCATTTGGAGCACTCCCTTTTGACCCAGGAATTTTTCATAGTTCCGTATTCTTAAGATTCAGTTGGCTATCCTTTTCCCTCCCCTCGAAAGTTTTTTAGGCCTACAGAATGTTAAATAATACGTATTTTGACTTTTTTTCCTGGAGTCTTGTATATTTATAGTTTTCTATATAAGCTGTAGTATCTTCATGAAGACCAAGGCTCAAATTTACTGTGCTTAAAAAACAATTCTCATAGGATTATTATTTTCATGGTATTTTCTTCCATAATATCTCATTTTTTTAAAAAAAGGTTCTTTATGAACTTAGTGTCCATTGTCATGCAATGTTATTTTTTTCCATTTTTTCCCTCTAATTTTGTGGAATTTCTGATCCTGGGAAAGAGAAACAAAATGTCAAGTTCTATGAGAACTTGGTTCATTTACAGATTTCACTGAAGAAAGAAAAATTGGTCTTATGTAGTCTTCAAGTGTATATTTAAAGAGGTCTTTTGTATTAGCTTTACTGTCACTTCAGTTCCTTTATTATGTGTGTTTGATGTTTTTTCCTATTAAAATACCAGAGATATGGAGATATTTTGCACTTTAGCCTTGATGAAAAGTACAAGATATGTTCAAAGCTTCCCTGATTCTTTTCTTATTGGTAGCCACGTAAGTTTCAAGAATAACATGGCACATAGAACTAACAACTGGAAAAAAAAGTTTGCTTCTGTTTGAAAAGTGGTTCAGCATTTTGGGTGGCCCTATCAGTTTATCAATTTGGTGCTCTGCTAATCACACTCTAGAGAAGCAAGTTAATGGAGCTTGAGCCCTGCCCTAGTAAAAGATTATTCTGTAGAAGAATGTCAGCAAGTAGGGTAAAGTCATTTTATTCTTCCTAATTTAGTTTTATATTGAGGGACAGTGTTGGGCTTTTGGAGCCAGAAGGCTTTATGAAGTCAGATCAGAAATAAGATTGACTTGTGTGTTACTTTTCATCACTGTCCTGATTCCAGGTATGTTTCGAAGTTTATAATTATCACAGTATTTACAAAGACTTGATTGCATTGAGAAATTAACCCCAAGGGTTTTTTTTTTTTTTTCTTTTTTTGCCAGGGGTGAGTAGTCCTCCAGTACCATTGTAACTAAATAACTTGTCTAGTCATTGTAAATATTTATCTGTCATTTTTGACAGATTGGGGCCAGCTTGATGTTTTAAATCTTCAGTCCAGTACAAAAATTTAAAGGTTCATTAAATTTTTTAGCATTTTATTGAAAATATTTAAAATCTGTTTTTACAGTTTTATTGGTAGTCTGTGCCATGAAATTTGAAGACCACCAAAAATCAAGGGAAATTTTGTATTCAGTTCCTTTTCTGGTGTAATGTTAAGTTGTATAGATTATTAATGCATGTCCACTGAATATAACCCTGGTTTTGTGATATAACTGCTTAGATTTTATTGGTGATATTAGATTAGTGGTTGCATTAAATAACTAAATTCCCATTGTGATTAATTGAAATTTTGTCTTGAAGCAGAAAATTATTTGTGAATATAAGCTTTGTGCTTAGAGAATGTGTTTCTATCTGTCGGTATGGGAGGATGTAAACTCTGCATCATTAGTGAATTCATTAGATGTGTAATTCTTTGCAAAATATAATAGGTATTTGGTAGAGCATTGAGTGTAGTGTGCATGTGCACGTGTGCGTGCACATGTGTATGTGTTTGGTGGGTGGGTACGGTTTACCATCACTACCAACCAACCAAGGTTTTGTAAAGTATTCTCTAAGTAACTTCTATACCCACCCTTTCAATTGAACAAAAGGCTCACCAAATGCAGTAGGGCCTTTGGATACATTATCATTTTAAAATTTATTATAGTAAAATATACATAACCAAATTTACCATTTGAACTATTTTTATGTGTACAAATCAGCGGCATTAAGTACATTCACAGTGTTAGGTACATCACTACTATCTAGTTTCACAACTTTAAATTCATCATCCCAGACAGAAACTCTGGATTCATTAAACAGTAACTCCCCATTCCTCTCCCCACTCTCATCCCCCAAGCCCTTGGTAACGTTTATTTTTTCTCTCTTTGAAGTTGACTATCTTAGGCACCTTTTATAAGTGGAATCATATAATATTTGTCCTTTGTGTCTGTCTGATTTCATTTAGCATAATGTTTTTAAGGTTCATCCATGTTGTAGGTTTATGTCACATTTTGTTTAACCATTTATCTTTGGATGGACACAGATTGATGGACACTTTTTGCTCTTTGAATAATGCTACCATGAACATTTTTGTACAAGTATCTGTTTGAGTCCCTGTTTAAAGTCTTTCGAGTATATACCTAGAAACAAGGTTGCTGGAATATACAGTAATTCTATGTTTAATTTTTTGAGGAACCCCAAACCAGTTTCCCCAGGGGCTGCACCATTTTATATTCCCACCAGCAGTGTATTAGGATTCTAATTTCTCCACATTCTCACCAACACTTGTTATTTTTGTTTTGTTTTGTTTTTAGTAGTTATCCTAATGAGTGTAAAGTGTTATTTCATTGTGGTTTTGAATTACATTTCCCTAATGGCTTGTGATACTAACTAAACATCTTTTCATGTGTTTACTGGCTATATGTATATCTTCTATGAAAAAATGTCTAAGTCTTGCTCATTTTTAATTGGGTGGTGGTTTGTTGCGTTGTAGGAGTTTTTAAATCTATTATCAGATATACGATGTACAAATACTGAGTCCCATTTTGTGGGTTGCCTACTTACTCTTGATGGCGTCCTTTGGTACGCAAAATTTCTAATTTTGATGAAGTCTGGTTTGGCTATTTGTGTTGTCGTTGTTGCCTGTGCTTTTTGTGTCCTATCCAAGAAAGCATTACCAAATCCAGTGTTAGGAAGATCTTCCTATATGTTTTCTTCTAAGAGTGGTTTTAGTTCTTACATATAGGTATTTGATCCATTTTGAGTTTTGTGCATGGTAAAAGGAAAGGATTCAGTTTTGTTGTTTGCTTTTGGATATCCAGTTTTCCCAGCACCATTTGTTTGAAAAGACATGCTCTTTCTCCATTGCATTGTCTTGGCACTCTTATGTGAAACTAATTGACCATGTATGCAAGGGTTTATTTCTGGGCTCTGTATTCCATTGATCTATATATATGACTGTCCCTTTGCCAGTACCACAGTTTCAATTACTGTAGCTTTGCTATAAGTTTTACATTATAATTTTAAATTCTTTGAACCTTTGAAGAAGACCATGTTTCCCTTGTACATTTTAGGAAATTGAGGTTCAGGATTCTGATTTGGATAACTAAACATGAAATAATTGAAATGCTAGATGAGAAAAGGTGCCTTTTTAAAATCCCTCACATTTCTACTTAGAAACACTTTTCTAAAAATAAAATAGAAGCATAGTTTTAAGAAAGGAATATTTGCGTGCAGTTGTTGTCACTATAAAAATTACTTCCTTGAGAATGCTTCTGAATTAATGGAGTAAGGACCTCTGAAAAGCTGTTCTTCCATAAAAGTGATGAGAACACTGTAAAAGTTGTCACAATCAAGTTTTTCAAAACTCTAAAACTGAACTAAAGGCTTTCAATAATCTAAATATTTACCGGTAATAAAAACTATAATACAAGTTCCATAGCATTATAGATTGCCCTACCCCCTTCCCCCTAGTTCCTGGATAGCCTTGAAAAGGAATAGCCTTGCAACTATGGTAGCAGTGAAAATCAGCAGCCTTGTAACCACTGGAAGGGGCTTAAAGCTCCCTAAAAAGCCCATCCCAGAGAATAATCACTATTTGACTTGTCTGTCCTCCACTGAATAGCTCTATTCCCAGAGCTTGTCTTTACTTGATCTGACTCTGCCCATGTGTTTAGAGCCCCATCTACAGCCTGTTTGTTTAAAAACAGCTTCAGTTGTTTAACGTAGCAGGTTTTTTTGAGGCAATGATACCAACTGGGACTAAAAAGAAGGTGGCCAAAAATAAAAGGAAAAGCTGAGGAATGACATGTCCATGTAGGATTTGAAAAGAGTCAGCATATTCCTGTGAATATCGAAGGCTGCATGCATGTGCAAGGCTATATGTGTTCCCAAGGGGAAAAAAACAGGAAGACACTAATCGCACCTGTGGCACAACGTGAGCCTCTGCAAGCAGGAAGTGAAGGCTAAGGTAGAGTTGAAAAACAAAACAAAACATAAAACTACATGTTGTGGGGTTGAAGGCCTATCCCAGCACATTTACAGAGTACTTCAACAAGGCTGAGGGAATTATATCATTGTTTCAGGGCTGCATTAGCATTAGCTGACCTCTAAGTCAATGATTAGAATATAGTGGTCACACATGGCAAAGAATGCAGTCTTATTAGAATTAGTCCAGGAAGGTCACTCAGCAAACCACAAACACAATAGACCTTGAGGAGGTGAAAGGGTTCTGTTGTCCAGAGTTGCCTGTATTATTTTAAATGGCTAGTTTCAACAAAAATTTACAATACATGTGAAGAAGCAGGGAAGTGTGAAGATACCCACATGTTGGACTTACTAAACCAAGACTTTGTTAATCTTCTAAAATTGTGTCCAAAGAACTAAAAGAAACCATATCTTAAAAACTAAATAGAACAATTTTTCACCAAATAGAGAATAACATTAAAGAGGTAGAAATTATGGTAAAAGAACCATATAGAACTGGATTGAAATAGTACAGTGAAATAAATTCATAAAAAAAATCCTGGGATGCCTGGCTGGCTTAACCAGTAAAGCATGTGATCTTGATCTCGGGTTTGTGAGTTCAAGCCCCACATTGTGCCTAGAGCTTACTTAAAAAAATTAAAAATAGAGGGGCTAACAGATTTGAACTGGTAGAAATATTCAACAAATGTGAACACAGTCCAATTGAGAGTATCCTGTCAGAGAAAGAAATGAAAAAGTGCTGCAGAGACCTGTGGGACACCATCAAGTGTATTAACTTGCATAATGGGAGTCCCAGAAGGAGAGAAAGAAAAGGGGCTCAAAGAGCATTTTAAGAAATAATTGCTAAAAATTTTTAAAATTTGATGAAAAACGTGAACCTGCACATCCAAGAAGCTCAACAAATGCTAAATAAATAAGATGCTTGGAAGCAGCAAGAGGAAAGTAATTCATCACATACAAGGGATTTTTAATATGATTAATAGCTTCCTTATGTGAAGTCACAGAGGCTAGAAGGTAGTGAATGACAGACATTTAGAGTCATGAAAGAAAAAGTCAACTAAGGGGGCACCTGGGTGGCTCAGTCGGTTAAACACCTGCCTTCGCTCCGTTCATGATCCCAGAGTTTGGGATTGAGCCTGAAGTCAGGCTCCCCACTCAGCAGGGAGACTGCTTCTCCCTCTCCCTCTGTCCCTTCCTCTGCTCTTCTTTCTCTCTCTCTCTAATAATAAAAAAAAAAAAATCAAGAATATCTATATGCAGCACAATTATTCTTTGGAAATGAAAGAAATTGAGATATTCCCACGTGAAAACAGAACAAATTTCTTAAGCATACCTGCTCCTTAAGAAGTACTAAAGGGAGTCACTTAGATAAAAGTGAAAGGACATTAGATAGTAACATGAATCCACACAAGTAAGTAGAACTGGTAAAGTTAATAACTACCTAATTAAATAAAAAGGAAGGTATAAATGTATTAGCTTGGGTCGCAATAACAGAATACCATAGTTTGGATGGCTTAAACATCAGACTTTGTCATAGTTCTGAAGGCTGGGAAGTCCCAGAACAAGGTGTGGATAGGTTGGTTCCAGGAGGTGAGGGCCCTCTACCTGGCTTGCAGACAGATGCCTTCTCACTATTTCCTCCCATGGTAGAGGGAGGAAGAGAGGTCTGGTTTCTTCCTGTTCTTACAAGGACACTAATCCCATCACGGAGGCCCACCTTTATGATTCCATCTAAAACAAATTACCTTCCATAGGCCCATCTTCCAAATGCTACCACATTAGGGTTAGGGCTCACGCTCACGGGGATTCAAACGTTCAATTGTAACTGCTTGTTTACACCACTGATTTAGAAAGAAAACTGTGTAAAGTAATAAATGTAGAACTGTTGAATGCCTTATGTATAAAGCTGTAATCTGTATGGCATAAAACATCAAGGAGGGAATGGGGAAATATTGGAGCAAAGGTTTTCTAGACTATTGAAATTAAGTTGGTATTAATCTGAACTAGAATATTTCAAATTAGGACGTTAATTGTCATCCCTAACACAACCACTAAGAAAATAAATCCCCCCAAAATATAGTAAAAGAAACAAAATGGCATAGAAAATAACATTTAACACAAAAGAAGGCTGTCGTGGAAGAATAGAGAAATAAGACAACAAACTCCCAGATTGTAGGTCTTGTTACTGTTAACTATGTTAGATGTGAATAGACTGTATACTCCATTAAAAGGCAGATATGGCAGATTAAAAACACGCATACTTTAGTTTCAGAGAAACAGATTGGTTGAAAGTAATAGAACATAAAACTAACCAAAAGAACCAAAGTAGCTATACTAATATCAGACAAAATAGACTTTCAGACAAAAATTGTTAGAGACAGATTGTATTTTATAATGATCCAAGAGTTCATCAGGAAAATGTAATAATTATAAACATGTATTCAAACAACAGGACCTTAAGATATATTGATGAGGCAAAAACTGGAATAATTGAAGGGAGAAATCAACAATGATAGTTGAAGATGTTAATACGTCTTGTCATAAGGGACAATTCAACTGGGCAGAATATCAGCAAGGAAGTAGAAGACTTGAACAACACACAGTAAAACCAAGTAGACCTAACATACCTGTAGCAAACTTGACACAATAATAGCAGAACACATGGAATGATCTCCAGGGTGGGCAGGTTTACATCAAACAAGTCTTGGTAAACTTTAAAAAATACACATGCAGACATACACAAACACAGCAGCATACTCTGGGTATAATGGAGTAAATTTAGAAATGAATAGAAGGAAATTTGGTTAACTCACAAATGGAAATTAAACAGTAAACCTAGAAAAATAATGTCAGAAAAAGTCAAAAAG